GACAATACTGTTAGTCATTGGCTACAGCAAAACTTTATGTCCTAAAATAATACTGCAACTAGATTATTACAAATTTATTGCTTACCAGATGCTTTTCCAAAGCAGTGTGCAGACTTCAGCTTCTCCAACTCTCAGAAGCAAGAGATCTGCCCCCCACTTTCACATTCCACTGGTCCCACCCCCAATCAGTGCAACGCATTGTTTCTGTCCTATTCTAGGTAATCTGGTACCATTTTCTATTGATTTTAAAACAATGTTTATTATTTTCAGGTGATCCCATGAGATGAGTCTTTCTAATATATGCCTACCTTTCTAATACTATTCATAGCAAACTTGTTGCACATCCTTTTTAGTAAAACCACTGTTCTCCCCGAGTAATTCCATCAAGATAAGCAGGAACAACTTTTCCAGACATTAAGTACAGGTGGTACATGATGGAGTCAGGGCAGTATACTGGGTAGAACATCACACCAGACCAGGAAAGCCCTAATTTCAATTTCCATCAATTCTGACAATCCGTAGATGAATCTGCAACCAATCATAATTGCTTAGAATTATCCACCTCACAGGATTGTTGGTAGGAAAAACTGGGGAAAATGGGGATGGCTATGTATGGTACTTTGTAATCCTCAGAAAAGGGCTGATAAATATGGGATAAAGAGCAAGAGGGATCCATAAAGTTAGTTTATAATAGTTTATGATTTTTTGACTTATTTCCTCCCAGTGATGTACCTCAACCACAGGGCACAGTTCCTGGGTTCTCCTGACCAGGCTTTTGCCCCCCCAGAAGATGAACACAAAACAAATAGCAATGACAGGAACCAACAGTGCATGACCGTTGTATCAATATTCAAGGCAATAGCCACTGACCATCATTTCAGCTGAGTGACCTTCCCTAAAACAATTTAGAGAACTCAAAGAATCTCATACCACACTTGTATTTCTTGAACTTGAATACTGGAGCAGCAAGGGCCAAGCAATGTGGAAGATAAAAAGAGACTTTCACCCAGGGGCCCCTCCAGTCTGAAGGCATCTTCATTTCTCCATCAACACAAAAGTCCATGACTTTTACACTTAATCTTTCAAAAAGTGGTCTGTGGCATATAAATGCTCTCTGCCTTCTAAAAAGTGATTCTGTGTTTTTATTGTTTTATGTTTTTTGTAGTTTTATTGTGGTTGTGAGCCACCCAGAGTTGTGCTCCAAGATGGGCGGCCATACAAATCCTTTAAATAAAATTAAATAAATAAATAAGCAAGCAAGCAAGCCTTGTAAGCTTTGTTCATTATATTTTTCTTCCACCCTTCCTCAAAGGATTTCAAAGGGAAACAAACATGCTATCCCCACCCACCCTTTTATTTACACAATAAATTTGTGAGTTAAGTTCAGCTATAAGCTGGTAACCAGTCTAAGATTGCCCAGTCAGCTTTGTGGTTTGTGGCTGAGTAGAAATCTGAACTCAGTTTCCCTGGTCTCAGTCCAACAGTCCGGTAATTAATTCACGCTGGCTCTCAATGTAAAACACAGCCTAAACACAGGAAAACAGACAAAGCTACAGAAGGATAGACACAGGAGCCTCTTAGTCTAGAAAACTATTTTTGTAGTACATTAGATGATAGCCAGCCTTGACAAGTAAGAAGTTCCAATGGCAATATAGATGGGTGGACAAACTGCTGCTGAGCACTCACTAGGCCAAACAAAGGAAGAACAGAGCAAAAGGCACACTGACGGAACCGCTCCTCTGGAGTTACAGCTGAATATTGGCTATAATCACAGTGCAGTTCTGAGGATGCTGGGATCTATCTAAAATACTCAGGCTCGAAACCCAGCTTAATAATGATGCTCTCTGGGCTGCTCTGAGCAGGTCTAAGCTTAACCTAGCTCACAAAGCTGCTGTTCTTTAATTCTGACCCAAATTAAAATTCACATACATAGCAGCTATAAGACTTTATATATATATATAACATACATGTATGCATGTATGTATGTGAAATAAAAAGCTCTGGTACCAATCCTACCCGTCTGTCACTAGCCTCACAGAGGGTGACTCAGGCTTCACCTACTGGGGTTTCAGGATGGAGCATAAAATGGACCTCTATGACAAGGACACAATTTTTTCTCCAAGGGGCCTTGCAGCGTCACAACTCCTTCAACACATTGTCTCCATGACAATGGCAACAGGCAGGACACTAATAAAGGTAATACCAGACTACTCTGCAGTTCTCTTTTATAAGGTGCTCCAGAGATAAAGTATAAATTCATTATAAACAGCAAGTATCTTCTCAATAATGAATATTTAGTAGGCTTAAAATCCAAGTAAAGCAATGTTACTCATCTAATGAATCAACTTATTCATTAAATGTTAATATGGATGGGTTAAAAAAATACTGTATTTCTGAAGCTTTTCAACAATGCACAGTAGCCACAATTTTAGAAGAGGCATTCTTTCTAAGTTAGAGTGAGGAAGAATGATGTTTTTAAGATGGGCTTGCATTTATGGTTTTTACATTAAAATCTATTAATATATACTAAACATTTTTTCAACCCTGCTGTTGTAATTATGTTTTAGATTATCATTAATTAATTAATCCATTAAATGCTACTGGCCTCAATAATAATTACAGGTAGTCCTCAACTTACGACTACAATTGGGAGCGGCACTTCCATTGCTAAGCGATGCGGTCATAAGTGAGACATCACGTTACTGCATTGCTTAGCAATGGCAATCCCAACACTCCCTGTTGCCATCTTTAACTGAATTCTGCCGGTTGGTCATTAGCCGAGGATCCACCCCAATCCAAGCCATTCTGGGTTGGTCCCTCCCAGCCTTCAGCCTCAGTAAGGTAAGGTATTGCCTCCAACTCCCCCCACCCACCCATCTCTGCCCTTTTGGCTGCCCTGCACCCTGCCTTGCAAGGCAGCAAGCAGCCCCAGAATCACACAGCTCTGGGGCTGCTTGCCACACCCCAGGAAGCCACAGCGGCCCCAGCCCAGTCCCAGTCACACTCACCACCCTGCACTCTGAGGCCCCTGCTGTCCTGCACTCCACCATCTTGTTGCTCCCGCTGCTGACAAGGCATGCCCATCCTGGTTCTTTGCAAGGCAGCTGCTGGCCATGTGAGGCCGTCATCCCCAGGTCTTGCAAGGAAACTGCCATGCATGACCTGGGGAAGAAACCCTCATGTGGCCAGCAGCTGCCTCACGAAGGGCCAGGATGGGGATGTCTTGTCAGTAGTGGGAGCAAGAAGATGGCGAAGGCTAGCTGGGGGGACAGAGGACAGGGCAGTAGGGGGCCAAAAGGGCATAGACAAGGGGAGATTGGGGTGGGGGGAGTTGAAGCACCCCTGCAGTTGTAAGCACGGCAGGCTGCCAAGCACCCAAATTGTGATCATGTGACCGTGAGGGCACTGCAATGGCCAGAAGTTCAGGGACGGGTCATAAGTCCCTTCATTCAGCACCTCTGTAACTTTGAAAGGTTGCTGACCAAATGGTCGTAAATCAAGGACTACCTGTAGGGATATACTGTAACAAAATAAATTAATGTTGTGTTACTAATTTATTATTTGCTAAACACTTCCTTTATTAATAAGAGCATGTAGTTTAAAAACAGTTGATTAATTTCAGTCTTTTGCTAAGAAGCACTGTATGCTAGAATTTATTTCATATACTGTAACTTGCTGAAAGTCGATTTCAAACTCCAGCAAAAAACATGAAATGACAAGAACCAAGAAGTACTCAACAGCACATGAGGGGCTTACTTCCTGCCACACATTTTAATTTGACATCAAAAATCCCAGGGTTTTAAAAAGCCTAAGCAGCTGTTCTACTAACAGGTGGCATAGGCTAGATCAGGCTTTGCTAGGACTGCAAAAGCTAATTAATGTTTGCTTCTGATAACTTGATAGAACATACAACATAGGAGGAAAAGCACAAAATAAAAAAATGTAAAGGGCTCTCTATTAATCAACTGGAATACCCCCTCAAGAAACCAATTCTAATACTACATACTGATAATGTAGTTAATTCTTCAACCAATTCAGTGATCTTATTTATAGTACAGATGCAGTTATACCACCGATTAACACCAACATTCTAAATGGCAAGGTAAGCAAAGTGACTAGTTAAATTTTATTTATTTACACAATTAAAATTTCATAACTCAGTTTAGTCTCCATGATGCCTCTTATAGGAACAAAAACCTCTAGTTCATTACAATGGCTTAGATTATTGTCCTTGGAACTTTAGTAACAAATCCAGCAAAGCTTTGTACATATAAAAAGCCATACGATTTCTGCTGCAGGATCAGCCCTGTACTCCTTACTTAGATTAAAATTATTCTTTCAACCATGGACTGTATCTTTAAATATTCAGTATAATCTCTTGACATATATAGGAGAATGCATTATATTTCAACCTGTAAGTTTTCCTCGCATAATCTTCATGAGACATGGCCTGGGAAGCATGCCTATAGCAACACCTAGGAAAGGTTGCCAGTTATATAAACTAGATCTGACATTCATGGTTAAATGGTGCTCAGGCAAAAGATTTTCCCTTGATAGAAAGACTCCATCACAGGAAATAAAACTTAACATCTCTCATAGTGAAAAGCCAACCCCGATATTTTTATTGGCCCATTGATCTTGGGCAAATCAAGGCCCAAGGCTTTGTGTATATATTTTTTTAAATTACACGCAATTGAAAATGAACGGCTATTTCTCCTCAACTGCCCATAGCAACCTTGAAAACATTAATGCAGCCCAGCAGAATTCTCAACTGATATATAAAATATAAATCAGGATCTCTGGAAGCCAAGAAAAGTGAGGAAGAAACAAAAATCACATTTGGCTGCCCAAACAAAACATTGGTTTGGACAGGATGTTGTCTATTTTGTTACTGTCTTTCTATTTTGCTTTTTTAAAACAACATGCTGCTTTGAAAAACAAACAAGGTGATAAGGTTCCCAGATAGGGTACCATCTTACAGTCAATTAAAACAAACTTACCCTAATTTTCCCAGCAATTCCACCTCTGGAACCAATGGTCCAAATGTCTCTACATGCAGTGGTTTATATTCGTAGAGTACTTCTTCCATCTTTGGAACAGGCACTAAGGAAATATGCTGACCCTGTTGAAAAGATATAAGGGGATATCTAAGTTGTGTCATATTTTAGGTGATTCGTACTAAGAAGGTGTTATTCTTACAAAAGCTGAATTAAACATAACATTGAGCATTCACTAGCTATTATACAATTCACTTCCTGCTTCTAACATGAAACTCTTTCCAACACCTTAATGTTAGATGAATAATAGTTTGTTAGCTATAATTCTTTAAAGTGAGAGGGGTGGAAAATAAAGTTAGCTAATATCAGATTTACAGTAACTAAGTGCAGCTGCTTCCCTCTGTTATGGATGAATTTATTAGATAAAAAGTTTCATTTCTCATAAGTAGTATCAAGTAAATATTGTACAGCGAGACCACTACAATTGATAATCAATTATTTCCTGAAAGCTCTAATCAGAAGTGGAAGCTACTTTTGCATTCTTCTGGTATCTCTAAACTACCACAAATAATGGCTCTCAGAATGAATTTTTGCTGTAAAATTAAAATTAATTCAACAAATTCCTATAGAACTTTAAAAAAATGGGATTATATTTCTCAAATTAGCCTTGGGACACAAGAGTGTCTTTAACATTCTTCAGGGTCTGAGATTAAAGCAAGGTAATTACAACAGGATTTAAATTTGAGAGTCCAGAGTCTATTGGACTGGGCAGCTATAATAAATTTTTAAAAATTAATAAATGTTGAATTTGTTACAGTCTATACATTTTTTCCAATTGCAGTTCAGCCATAATATTAACAGAAATGGAAGCTTCAGTATAAGCATACAAAAATCAAGTTTATGCTTAGCAGAGCTGGCAGTAATTACACATACATATAGGCGTATCTCACCCCCTGCCCCAAAGTCCTACTGTGCTGCCTCATTGTGGCAGAGGGGGTGGTGTTTATTTATTTATTGAAAAGATTTGTATGGCTGCCCACATTAGAACACAACTTAGCTCACAAAAACAACAATAAAAACCAAGAAACAATAAACAAAACCATAAAACAGAAGTCTGGCAGCTCAGCTATCCTCCTTGGATGCCTCCAACGAACCATCCACAGGCTCCCACCTCACCTTATCACAGTACCTGGGGGAAGAGGGTCAGCTAATTTCATGATAATTGAAGAATTAGAAGTTCCCTTCAGTTTACCTTGACTGCAGTTTAGCACAGTATTCAAATGCTAGAGAGTAATTAATTATTTGATCAGTTGAAATAAGTCAGCCTTAAAATCTTGTTCATAATCAAAAATGTCATTTATCAGGGTCTAGGTAGTGTGCCTTCTCTGTTGCGGCACCTGTCTTCTGGAACAGCATCCCCCAGACTCCAGAGATTTGTATGGCTCCTACTCTGCAACTGTTCTGGAAGTCATTAAAAACTAAACTCTGCTCCTTGACCTGAGGATAGGGTGGATGCCGAGCCTTTGTTAGTTTTTGGTGGTTTGGGGTATGTTTTGTTGTTTCACTCTTCTGGGCACAATTTTTTTATATATAAATAGGTTTTCTTTTTCTTTGTACATACTACAAGCCACCCAATATCTTTTGGGAGCTGAGTCTTCAAATCAAATAAGTATATAAACCGACCCAGTATTGGGTTCTTCATCGTCTCTGATCATCTTTCTTAATCTTCTTTGTAAAGTAGACACAACACAAAAGTTAAGATTCAACCAGTATGGAGTACAGGTAATCCTTGGTTAATGACCACTCGTTCAGCGATCTTTCAAAGTTACAACAGCACTGAACAAGTGGTAGTTAGGACTGGTCCTCAAAGGTCCAGCCATCCCAGCACCCCCATGGTCACATGATTGCAATCTGGGCGCTTGGCAAGCAGCTTGCATTTACAACGATTGCAGCATCCCATAGTCACGTAATCACAATTTATGACCTTCCCTGCCAGCTTCCCATGAGCAAAGTCAATGGCGAAGCTGGCAGGGAACGTCGCAAGTTGCTCAGGTAAGTCTCCCCCACCTGCATACCCACCCCGAGTCTTGCTGTGCTCACGTTGCACCTCCCCCACCACCTGCGCACCCTCCTGCATCCTCCCCCACCTGGCAGCAGCCACCTCAAGCCCCACCACACTCACACACCTCCCCTGTCACTCACCCAACCTCTCCCACCCCAAGCCACACCATGCTCACGCCATGCCTCCCCACTAGTTATGGAACCTCTCCCACCTGGCAGCAGCCACCCCAAGTCCTGCCGCGCTCACGCTGCGCCATTCCCACCACTCGCACACCTCTCCCACATGGCAGCAGCCACCCCAAACCCCACTGCTCTCGCACAACTCCCCAGCCACCCGCATACCCCCTTGCTTCCTCTCCCACCTGGCAGCAGCTACCTACCTGCCTGCTGGTCTGCTTGCAAGCCACCTGGGACTTGCAACTTCCTGCCAGCTTCCCCACTGACTATGGTTGTTGGAAGTTGACAGGAAGTTGCAAGGAGGTGCTTACTTAATGACCCACGATCCTCACTTAACGATGGCAATGGGGACTGCAGAGACTGCCATTGCTAAGTGATGCGGTCACGTGATGTTGCGCTTTACAATTGTATCACTTAGCAACGGAAATTGCAATCCCAATTGCCACTGTAACTCGAGGACTACCTGCAAAGTGAAATTATCACTTCCCATGATTTCAAAACGATATAGGTAGTCCTCAGTTAACGACCACTCATTTAGCGACCAAAGTTATGATGGTGCAGAACAAGGCTTATGGCCAGTCCTCAAAACTGCAGCCATCACAGCATCCCTGCAATCACATGATCACAATCTGGGTGCTTGGCAATGTGCGTGCAATTATAATGGTCACAGCTTCCCATGGTCACGTGGTCTCCATTTGTTACCTTCACTGCCGGCTTCTGACAAGCAAAGTAAATGGGGAAGCTGGCACAAAATTGCAAGTCGAGGTCACATGACATCATGCTTAACAACTGCATGTGATTCACTTAATGACAGCAACCAGAACTGCTGGAATTGCTGTCGTAAGTCAGCGCGGTCACGTGATTTTTCATTTTATGACCATGTCAATTAGTGATGGAGTTCCCAGTCCCAATTACGGTCATTAACTGAGGACTACCTGTACTTCTGTTAGATGAGGAATAAAAGCACATTTGTCATTTTTTTAAAGCCACATTACACTACTGAGTCATATTCAGTTTGCCATCAACTACTATTCCAAGACTCTTTTAACAAGTACAGTTACCAACCCATGTATTTATATTCCATACCTGCACATTTGATTTCTTCTTCCTAAATGAAAAAGTTTACGTTTTTCTATTAAATTTCATTCTGTTATTTTCAGACTATCTCTATAGTCTATCAAGATCATTTGCAACTTTATTTCTGTCATTTCTACCCAAGCCAATCTTGTGTCATATGCAAATCCGAAAACATTTACCTCTACCTGTTCATCCATTACACAGTACAGGGCCAGGGACCAAACATTATGCTTCCCAATTAAAATCTATCTCCATTTTTATGAGAAACTATTTATGAGTACTCTTTGTATATACTTTTTAAGTGAACTATATATCCACTTTACTATTTTGCCACGAGGACCACATTTAACCAGCTAATCAGAATTTCAGAGTACTCTACCCAATGTTTTGCTGAAATCAAAATATATTGTATTTACAACATTCCCAAAATGTACTAAGGAAGAAAATAAGTCTGACAAGACTTGCTCTCATCAGATCCATGCTGACGTCTGGTAATTACAGCATTGATTTGAAGGTTCTTATACAGGTAGCCCTTGGTTACAAACCTAATTGGGACCAGAATTTCTGCTAAGCAAAGTGGTCATTAGGCGAAACATCACTTGACTGCACCGCTTAGCAATGGCAGTTGCAGTAGTCCTGATTGCGGTTGTTAGGTGAGGACCTCATGCTTCTCCTGCCCTGCACGAACTGCCAGCTCCATCCTTCTGCCTCCTCCCCAGCCAGGTCCAGAGAGCTCCCTTCAGCAGATGAGGCTCTGCTACCCTGCTGCGCTCCCCTCCACTTCAACTTCCCCCTCATGAACGGCCAGCAGCTGCCTCAGCCAGGCACACCTTGTTAGCAGTAGAACGAAGAAGACAGCAAAGGTCAGCTGGAGGCAGCAGGGGTAGGAGACAGTGACAGAGTGCAGGGAAGCCAAAAGGGCAGAGATGGGGGGCGGAGATAGGTGGGTAGGGGGAGTTGAAGTGCATACTGTGGTCATAAATGCGGGCAGGCTGCTAAGCACCTGCATTTTGATCATATGACCGTGAGGGCATTGCAATGGCCATAACTTCGAAGACTGGTCATAGCTACCATTCATTCACCACCACTGTAACTTCAAACAGTCATTGAATGAATGGTCATTAAGTGAGACCTACCTGTAGATTAAGCTAAATAGATTAAGAATTTAATTTATACTTGTAACTACTTTTCTGGACTTTACACTTGCACAAGAGTTTTGTGCTACCAGAAAGCATTTCCTTCAGTATTTTGGCACTTAAAATGCTGCAATAAAAATACAGTTTCACTTGCTGAGATAGGGATATATAGATAAAAATATCTCAAGAAGAAGCTCCTTCTGGCCAATAAACAACAGAAATTATAATTAAACAGAAATATATACTGGAGAGGAAAAGAGCCAACAGCTATTTTATAAGTATAGCCTGGTTATACTCAGTTCTACATGGAAACAATTCTACCAGTATCTGTTTTGAGCATCAGCTTATTCTTTTTTTTTTAAGTTCTGT